GTACACAAGCCAAGCATCTGTCAAAACTGGGAGTTTTGTCTTTGCTCCTGTCTCCCCCTTTTTGTCAAATAAAAACAAAAGGTATTTTCAGAAATGTGCAAGTTAGGGAGAAGGGCTTGGGACAAGTTAAGTCAGCAGACATGATATGCCTATCTGGAAAATAGATACAACCATATGGTGCTCAGGGATGGATGAGGTAGCATGCTTGGAAACCCCAGGACGAGGCTGGCCCATTACAGGTGCTCAAGTACATTTGAGCATGTGCTATGTTAAGTTCTTTCACTCAAAAGACAATTCCTGGTTGCGGCTTTGGGCTAAGCCCTGGAATGGAGGCTGCGGATATAGGGATGAAACACAGGCTCAGCCCTATAGGCACTCCCAATCTATGGGATGAGGCAGATGACAACAATAATGATAGTAGCTAATAATTATCAAATGCTAATATGCCGAACACTCTTAGAAGAGACACTCTTACATTTATGTATTGGTGTTTTCTGTCTTTCCGATGATCTATGAGATAGGTTACCTCGGTGATCATTTTATAGTCTGTCTTCCTGGTCACAGAAGTCTGTTTGTCCCTCTGTCAGAGCCCATATCTGTGGTATGGTAATGGCTCTATTCAGATATGTACAATGGGTACTGGAATCTCTGGGTTCAAATTCCAGCTCTGCCAGTTATAGGCAACATATTCAATGCCCCTATTTCTTCATCTGTAAAATGAGGAGAATCGTAGTTGCTACCTCATATTACTGAAAGAAGTGAATCTATATAAAGCACTTAGAACAATGTCTGGCACATAAGCTGTGAATAACTGTTAGCTGCTGCTGTTGTTGTTGTCTTTGTTATTTGTCTCCTCCTATATACTGGGAACATCTTGAGGGCTGGGTCACTATCTTATTAATTGCTGTATCCACAACTGTCAACCCAAGGCCTAGTTGAAATAATAATTGTCTGTTAAGTTAAAGAGCAAATTTATCACTGCTTCATGGTGGGGAAGGAGGTTGGTCATGAATATTCCCTTCATGAGTAGGCATTGGATTCCCCCAGAGGAACCCAGGCCCCCCTGGAGCAGATAGAGTCCAAGAAACAGTAAATGTGAGAACTAGAAGGTTCTTCACAGATTAAAGATCAAACCCCCCCACCCCCATTTTATAGATGAGAAGACTGAGGCTTAGGGAGTTCATGTAACTTGCCTGTGGGTCATACAGCTCATCAGCACTGGAATGAATGTGTTAGGCAATTTGGGCCCTTTAATGTAACCTCAGGTTCTACCCCATGGGCAGTTGGACAGGATTTCTTATTGGTTTAATTTCACAAAGCTTTTTTGGATATTCCAGGTTTCTAATGCTAAGCTCCTGAGAGACAGAGGTGAGATGGGCTCAGGGAGCGTCCAGACTTGGACAAGACAGGCATTAAATAAGCAAATACAAGTGTGATGAGGGGCAACCCAGGCTATAATGAGAGCTTGTCTTGTTTCCATTGGTAGGTGTGAAGAGACTGAAACACCAAGTGAGAAGAGTGGGAAAATAGGAGGAGGCTGGAGCAAACATATCGAGGCTATTTGGGTTATAACTGTGGGCTCTCCCGTTAAAGGGAAGAGCTCTCCCATATGAAATAGAAACCCTGGGGTGGGATGCAAAGGCTGACATCTGTTGGGGTGTTGTGGGGCGGTTGCAGTGAGAGCCTAGAGAATATCCTCCCCAGCCAAGGTTATCTCTCCCCAACAGCCTTACTCAGAGAACCAACCCCCGCCCCCAAGCCAGCACAGCCCCACCCCCAGGCTCCTGGGAGAGCTGCAGAGTAGGGGTTGTTGCTAAGAAGTATATTTTTGCCCTGCTTAAGACACAACTATAAATTCACATAATAGATCCACCAATATGACTGAAAATGCATAGCACAGCTCAGGGGTGGGAAAAATCATAGCTCACCCCAGTGCCGTTAATCTTCCACCTGGGAGTAGTTTAGCATTAAGCATCCATTATTTATTACAGAGACAGAGGATGTAGGGAGGAAGGGCAGCATGTGGGTAGCAACCGGTATTGACAGGGAAATGTGAGAGACAACGTGATGCAGCAGGAAGTGCAAGGGCCAGGAGCTGGGAGAACAAGTCTCTGCCATTGCCAGCCTGGGGGACTTTGGGTAAGTCACTTAAACACTCTGGCCTTGATTACCTCATCTGTAAAATGGGGCTTGAATTAAATAGTCTCCTCAAGTCCTTCCAGGGTCTGAAATTCTATCCAGAATGTTCTATGCATTGTGAAGAAAATTTCTGTCAGAAGTTGCATTTACTACCCTAGAAGGAGTCCCCAAGCCTTCAGGGAGCACATTTCTGGGACAGCGATCTCAAACCTTTCCCTAAAGATCTCCAATTTGTAAGCCTCATGGGGGCATGTGCCCAGGTATGAAGTGTCTTGTAGTTTGTTTATTATGGCAAAAGTAATTTTGCCCTCTACTCCAGAACCTATTTTTGCCTGTGTCCGTATCAGAATAGTATTCTCAGTTCTTACTGTAGATGGTTATTGATAAATCTAGAATTGAAGGTTGACAGACCTCATCTTTTGATCTTGAACTAGGGCCAAGCCTTAACTCTGAGTGACATGATTACAGGAAACGTCTCCTTTCTTTTTTGTGTTTTCTGTATTTTCTGTTTCTTCTCTAATGCACTTATATTAATTTACTACTAAAGGAAAGTAAATATATTTTTAAAATAGGAAAAATAGGGGCACCTGGGTGACTTAGTTGGTTAAGCATCTGACTTTGGCTCAGGTCATGATCTCATGATTCATGGGTTCAAGCCCTGAGTCAGGCTGTGTACTGACAGTTCAGAGCCTGTAGCCTGCTTTGGATTCTGTGTCTCCCTCTGTCTCTGACCCTCCCTCACTCACGCTCTGTCTCTCTCAAAAATAAATAAACATTAAAAAAAAGTTAAATAGGAAATCTAAATTGCTGACCTTCAATGTAGGTTTTAAGGAGGGAAAGACTTCCCTTTGTGAACAAGCTCCCTGATGACCTTTTCTTGTGCTCCATCTCATGTATCCAGTTTATGCATAGTAATTACACGAGAAACAGGTGCAGGTTAATATATAAAAGTAATAATAATGATGATTATGGTGATGATAGTGGCTATTATTACTATGTTTCGCCTGTGTATGCTACAGTTCTAAACTCTCTTTGTGTATCATCATGTATAAACCTTGTGAGATCCCTGGAGGTAGATGCTATTATCCTCATTTTACAGGTGAGGAAACTGAAACGCAGGAAGTTAGTTAAGTAGCTTTCTGGGTTGGAAAATCTTTCATGCCCTGTCTTTTATCTTCTCAGTACACCTTTTAGATCTGGCCTGGCTGCAGCCTCCGCCCTACACAGCAGTAACTTGACCTTGTCACCTTAGCAGTCCCTTGGCTTTTATTCTGCCCTAAGGCTTCTCTGTCTCTGTTACGTGGTACACCCTTGGGAGCCTGTTGTGCCCATCTGTGCCTGCACAGATCTCAGAGTGCAAGGACAATTTCTAGGGCAACCCTTGACTGTGGGGACTGAGGACTGGTAGACAAAATTTTGTTCTACAATCTTAAAGCATATTCTACTTCATTCCTGGGAGGATCCCGGTGGGAGGCGGGATTAAGCTTCAGTTGCCCACAGCAATCATTAATTTAGTGCCTGTCCTTGATTGGCTTTTTTTCCTTCCCCCAATTTACTCATCCTAGGCCCTACTCCTATTCCCTGGAATTGTTTTCCAAAATAAATAATCTGTGTATAAAGTATGTCTCAGGTCCTGCTTTTCGGGGGAAGCTAAGACATTGTCAACAGTCACACAGCTGTTAAATTGTGGCATCCAGGTAGGAGAATATTCATTCCTTGTAAAATGATAATAAACACCCAGAACCAGGACGTAAATACATAAATCTTTTTAAGTGGGCATGTGTGTATGAAGATGTTTACACGCACATCCGGATAGGCTTGGGAGTGGAGTAAGTCCCTCAAAGGTTAATGGATTTTTAGATTTTCTTCCCCCTCTGACTTATCTGTATTGTTTAATTTTGCTAAAGTGGCAGTGTGTCACTTATGTCATAGATGGAGAGCAGGATGGCAAACTGATCTGTGCTGAATTATTCTCACAGAATGGTCACGTTCTTTTAGCAGACAATAGTAGCCACAGACATGCTTGAAGTGAACATGGATTAACCACTCTCCCACAACCTCCCTCTCAGGGTATCACAAAAATAAGTCTCAGACCAAGAGACCAAGACACAGGCAGACTGATTGAACAAGCATTCATAAGCAGGCAAGCATAAGACAGTCCATGCAGCCTGCTCTGGAAGCTGATGGTGCCCTGGCCCCTGCCCACCCCCGCGGCTGCTCCCCAAATGGAAGGTTCACAGGAAGAAGGCGGGGGAACATTCCTGATCAGTCGGTCTCAAACTTGAGCAGGCATGAGAATCTTCTGGAAGGCTTGCGAAAGCACAGTTTGCTGCCTGCCCCAGAGTGTGCACCACACTTTGAGATCAGTGGTCTAGAGGCATGATTTTGTTGCTTTCTCTGATGATTGGCAGCAGGCAGCCAGCAGTTCCCTAAAGGGCTGGACATAAGACCATTTAGAGTTAGTCTAGAGCACCAGCACTTAGACTACCAGACACTGTAGATTCTTTTACCTAAAGTGCATGCAGGTGCAGAATCTCTCTACAGGCCTTAGAGATTATCTTTAATGCTGTCAGTGAAAAACCATTTCTCATCATCTTTATGAGAGTTAGCAAAGCCTGCTGCATCACTTGAGCTATGGAAAAGTGAGGTGTGCAGGGATAGCTGGAGTGTGACCCTACCGACATAATGCTAGCTGATCACTCCTGTGAGTGATTTCCAGACAGGGCAGCTAGGAGATAACATAAATGAACACTACACCTGATATCGCATGTCCACGCTGAACATTTTAGAGTAAGTACAGACAACATTCATGGCAAGGACAGTTCATTAACAAATCAATGGGCATGTGTTTGATCCCACAGACTGAGCCTGAGATCATAGAGGAAACCAACATTGACAGGGTGAATGAGCCTCGGGGCTATGCCCGATCAAGGCAGATGAAAGGTCACTCGGAGACCTCCACACTGAGCTCCCAGCCCTCCATCGACGAGGTCAGGCAGCAGATGCACATGCTACTGGAGGAAGCCTTCAGCTTGGCGTCTGCAGGCCATGCGGGCCAGAGCCGGCACCAGGAAGCCTACGGCTCAGCACAGCACCTGCCCTACTCGGAGGTGGTGACCAGCGCTCCAGGAACCATGACGCGGCCCAGGGCAGGGGTGCAGTGGGTACCCACCTATCGCCCAGAAATGTACCAGTATAGTCTGCCTCGGCCGGTAAGTCAGATGCCCCATCCACCTGCCACCAGCGGGTCAGCTCCGCCCAGGGTGTTAACGACAGGGGTCTCAGAGTGGGGACTTCTAGTGATAAACCACCTTGGGATTTGGAGACAAACTTTTCTGGACTCTCATCCCGTCCTCCACCCATGATCCAAGCCTAAGCCTGTGGGCACAAGCACACAGGCAGCCCTTACATCAAACCATACTGCATTTGAGAATGAATTTCCTTTTCTACTGTCCCTCCTGTAAAGGGTTGACCTCATTCTTCATGCACTGGTGGATTCCTGCATCACCAAGTGTCAAGACCCATTTCAGATGTCAAGACACATTGCAGAGCTGCATGTTAGCAGTGCATGTGCCTGGTGGCTCAGAGCAGAGGCTCCAGAGGCAGGCAGTTTGACTTTGAATCCCTGCCCTCTTACTCACTAGCCTTGGAGACATCACTTAAATTTTCTACCAGTGAAATGAATAAGAAAAACAACTCACTTCCTAAGGTTGTTGTAAAGATTAAGCGAGTTGATGTATCTGAGGCACTTAGAAGAAAGCCAGGCACACGAGGGAGATGCTACAGCAATGCCACTCACGATTATTTCATTTAGTGGTAACTGCACTTCCGTATTTGAGAAAGCGCCCAGTGACTAAAAGCTTCCATGATTTAAACAACAATTTTAATTAGTATGCATCTCATTCATTACCATAGCATCTAAGATGTCTTTTTTAAAAGATGGATAAGCCATAGACCATAATAAACAATGCCATGTGCATGTATAGATTCCATCCTTGTGATAGTCCATGCCTTATACCCAAGGATTACTCATTAATAGAGGTTTATAAATTGTCGTTGTGATATGTAATTACATAACGAAAGTCAACATTTATTGAGTGTTTTAGTTACTAGGTATTGATCGTGTGTATGTTAGCTCATTTATTTAGTCCTTACTACAAGCCACCGAGGATAGGTACTTGTTTTGTCCCTATTTACAGATGAGGAAATTGAGGTTACTCACATGCTCAAGTCACACAGGCAGGAAGGGGCACAACTGGGACCCAATGCCAAGCAGTCCGGCATCAGAGCCCTTGTGCTTAACCAGCATGCTGTTTGTTCTCCTCTGTGCTATGTTGCATTGCCTCTTTCATTTGCAGTAGACTATTTGGGACATCTGTGGGTTTGTGGAGTTCTGTGATAATTTCACACCCATACCCTCCACGGTCCATATCACATAGGCACTTAATAGATTGCTCTTATGCTACATAACTTAATAGATTGCTCATATGCTACATACCGGCACACTATTGTGAATTTCCTTATTGTTCTCCTTTGCTCCAGATTTCCCCTCTCCTCCAAGTCACTGAGATGTCTCCCCTTGACACTGCTCCTCATCCCCTCTGTCGGTCCTTGAATGTCTGTGTCTAGCCTTATCCTTCCTGTTGGCTGATCTTGAACGGGAGAGACTGAACCTCTGGGGCAGGCTGGCTGGGTTTGCTTGGGGCCATCATCGCTGGAAGGCTTTGTCCTAAGGTTGGCAAGTGCAGAATTTCTATTCCGTCTTTTCACTCCATGGTGATCAGGCCCTGGGAATTTGACTCACACACCAATTAGGCTCCCAATAACTGATTTGTTATTAAGGATTTGAATTTACAAACCTGCAGTGCGAAGCTGGGTGACCACAGAGGCCAGAATACTTCCATTTGCTGGTCAGTGTGGTCTTTCACTAAGTAAAAGCCAGTCTGAGGAAAGTAAGACATTGTCAGAAGGAGGGCCATCTTCTCAGTCTCTGATACGCAAATCTGGAGAGTGCAGGCAATAAAGGACAAAGGGTAAACACAACCATCTTTTTTACATCCCATTTTTTTTTTAATATTTTTTTATTTATTTCTAGGGGAGAGAGAGAGAGAGACAACGTGAGCAGGGGAGGGTCAGAGAGAGAGGGAGTCACAGACTCCAAAACAGGCTCCAGGCTCTGAGCTGGCAGTCAGCACAGAGCCCGATGCGGGGCTTGAACCCACGAACCGCGAGATCATCACCTAAGCAAAAGCCGGACACTTAACTGACTAAGCCACCCAGGCGCCCCTTACATCCCATTTTCTGAGATATAGGTAGAATACGACGCAAAATTCTTAAAATATTTTAACCTAAAATAGAAGATTTGGGGGCAATGCCCAGATCTCAAGAATATGAGTTAGCCCCTACCATCAGGGGGGTTTGCTGGATATGTTCAAGAAGCACTGCCTTCCGGAAGAGTGTCAGCAATTCTGGAGCCACGTGCTCTTCTCAGTTGAAGTCCAAACATCCTTTTTTTCCAGAAAGAGTCAGAAAAATTCTCGCTGACCCTTACAAATCCATCAAGTTTAAAATACTTCCCTTTGGAGGCACCTGGGTGGCTCAGGTGGTTGAGCATCCGACTTTGGCTCAGGTCATGATCTCGTAGTCCATGGGTTCAAGTCCCACATTGGGCTCTGTGCTGAGAGCTTAGAGCTTGGTGGAGCCTAATTTGGATTCTGTGTCTCCCTCTCTCTGCCTTCCCACAGTCATGTTCTGTTTCTCTCTTTCTCAAAAATAAATAAATGTTAAAAAAAAAAATAAACAAAATACTTCCCTTTGGCCATCATATTACTGTTACTGTTTGCACAATTAGAGCTTTCTGACTGTCCACTAAATTGGTACGCACCCTTATGAGGAAAAGAAGAGATTTTTCTCACCGAGATTGAGAAAACATCCTAATCTCACCACAGGTATAAGTAGCTCTTCAGTGTCTGTCCCCTGAGAAAATCACCTGTCTCTGTTCTGTATTGATTCACACTGACTTCAGTTTCATTGGTTCACCCTTCTTGATCTCCATACACGGACCCCATGCCTGGATTTTCCCTCAGCCCAGCGTAGAATGGCACACACCAGCTGAATGACCCTAGCCAGGGGCTACAGCTTTGAGCCTCAGATGTCTTGGCCATGAAATAGTGGTGATAAGAGGGCCATGGTGAGGATGAAAAGATCATTCGTGTAAAATGCTCAGCATGATCCCACATCTGGCGAGCACCCACTACGTGTTTGCTGATATTAATCAGGGGGCTTTCAGACGATGCCCAGCACTGCAAATTGCCTGGTACATGGTAGTCATCATTATAAAAATATCCTGTCCTTTTTACTGAATTCCACTAGTTATATCCCTTTTCTTGATAGTGCTAAGACTACATCTTTTCCTCCTCTTGCTCTGCTAAATTCCTTTAAGAGCATGGTCTGGATGCCCCAACCGAGGGTCCCAGAGAAGCTCCACTTCTCTTTAAAGATGATTCTCAAGAACAGCTGGAGAATCTGACTCTGGGTAGAGGCCAGCTTCTGCAGATCCATAAAGAGATCTGGTTTCAAAGAGAAAAAAACAACCACGATGAGTCTTCCAACTGCTGATGGAATCCACATCCTTGATGCCTCAATTTAACAAAACCATCTATAAATTTCATATTTTTAGGACATGTGAAGACCTAGATTGTTCTGTTTGTTATAATTTGGGGTTGGCAGTTGTGCCAAGAAGGGCAAAAACATCAGCATTATATTCTTGAAATATCAGGCCACCGGAAACTGTAAAAAAACTGAGAACATGGCAGAGAGAAGGACCGTCACACCAGAACAATATCAAAGGCAGTTCTTTTGTTATTAAGGCTTCCGCCTTTTTTTTTCCCCAACACATGTGGTCCCTATTTTCATGAGAGGGGAAAATCACTAACAATACAGAGTAGAAATAATGAGTCTCGACCCAAGTTCTTGCCGAGCCCCCTTGTGCTATGATAATGTGGAAATCAATAGAAAAGGTAGCAATTTAGAATGATAACTATGATTACTTTTCAGCTTCCCTAAAAGGAAGCACTGGGAGCTCGGCCGGAGGATAATTGGAAGCGAGTGGTTTTCAATGTGCTGGGCCAGCCGATGGCATTTATATCATGGAAAAGGTTACTGCCGGCAGCTTGGGACTTCTGCACTGCATTTCGGGAGAGTCCTGATCATATTTCAGCCCATGAATTTGTGAAGAGATTGGACCTGACACCTCATGTCCCATCCAGTTTTGCCAGCAGCCCTAATGGGTCTGTGCCAAGTGGAATGAAAGCATCCTACAGGCTTCCTGTGGGTGTCAGAGTAGGGGATTTGGAGAAAGGCAGCAGGGTTAAAATGTCCTCCTCACTAGAGGCTTTCCAGATGCAATGAGCGGTAATAATTATAACAACATCAACAGCTACCATCTGTTGAGCTCCCATTATACATACCAGACATGGAGCTAAGCGCTGTGTAGACATCACCTCTTCTAATCTAACAAGCATCCTATGAAGCCAGTATTGTTATTATCCCTGTGTACTCAGTGAGGAAACTGAGGCTCAGAGAAGTAAAGAAATATGCACAAGGTCACACAGCTGTCAAGGGCAGACACAAAGTAAGAACCTAGAGCTGACTTCAAAGAACTCATGTTTTCGTGCCTTTGGCCCAGTGAGCCCTAGGGATGTCCTGCAGGCCCTGAGGAGACTCAAATCTCCAGAACTTCAGAGTATGATCATCTCAGAAGGAAGCTTGCTCAGTTTGACAGGGTTCTGTCCATTCCTATCATTGCTGCTTGTAAAGGAGACATCTCTATTAGAATGAAATCGAGACTCTTACAGCTTTTTTTCCTCCTCTCCCCTCATAAAGAAAACAAAACCTTTGTTGATGAGATAGGCAGACATGTCAGGCATGAGTTTACATCCACCACAACACTTGGGTTCAAGAGCTGATTAAGTTTCTTATATTTATGCAAACCAGATTTGAAACTGTTTTGAGCTCCCATCTGGCCAGGTGGGTCGGAAATTCAATGTTTTTATTGGGCTCCCTCCACCCCTGGTTGTTCAGAAGTCACTGGAAGTTTGAGGAAGTTGGACCACAGGGAGAGGGCCATCCCAGCCCTATTGATGGGGCATTGTCCAACTCTTGGAGTCTTGAAGGCAGGTCACACTGTTACACCTCTGCCAGCCTTGGCCTT